ATATATGATTTTCAATAGGCTCTCTTAAAAATGCACACAGACAAAAATGAATTTACTATATCTCATTTAAATACAGACTTGGTAATGAATAACTCATTGATAGATGGCCTTTTAGATTGTATTTTAAGGTAAATAAAATAGTTAAAAAGTTTTATGCTTATGGTGATCAAGGAGCAAACTACAAAAACAAATGCCCAACTATAACATAACACAAATAGGATTCTTAATCTTTATAGAGTTCTATTTATATAAATCATACATACTGAGACCCAATTTTGGTAATAAAGTATAAAAAATTCACCTGGTTGATCTAATTTCCAGAAAAGCAGGCAGGCTCACAAATAAATCCTTATGTATATGGATTTTAGGAATGGTTTAGGAATAGGCAAGGGGAACAACTATACCCAATTAGGGCTATGTAGTAATCATACAACCTTCTGGGTTACTTGTTCTGGTCTACCCATAGGACTTTGGCTTAGGTTCCTCTTACACTTTTCCATACAGTCATCCTCCTTGCCAGAAGCTGCTTTCACTAGCTATTTCTGGATCCTCTCCTCTACCCCTCCTTTTTGGCATGCTCATTTCAGTCAACTGTTCTGAGTGTTGAGCAGGATGAAAGGGCTCTGGTCAGTTTCAGCAAAAAAGCTATCAGACAGATACTTCTGAAGTAGGCACTAATAATGATTAACGTTTACCTAGTGTTTTTATTTTACGAAGTGCCTTCACACACGTTTTACTCATTCCTCACAAAGTGTCTTCTGACATAGAAATGACAGATGAGGAAATTGAGGTCCTGAGAGATTATGGCTTGTCTAAGGGTTGCTCTACTTTCATTCTAAAGCCCATGCTCCAGTGACTCTACTAACTTGCCTCTTCATAAAAAAATATGATGTCAATAAATTATTAAAACAATAAACATGTTTAATATTAATAATTTCAGACCTGAAACTATCTAGACTACTCATAGAGAAATTTAGAGTTAGACTAATCTCAGAAACAAAAGTCTCTACATTTTTAAAAGCACTCCAGGGAAAGTCCTATCTGAATCTCAAAAAATAATTTTCAAATCTAACTTCTACTGTTTCTTAGAATCAAATTTCGTGGAGAGGAAGATATTATTTATGAAATGCATATGAATGAACTCACAAAAAGCACACATATCCATGATCAACTCTGAAGAAAAATTATCATATAACATAGAAGAGCTAACTTTTAATGCTAATCAATGCTATCATTCTTATGGTCAAACAATACTTTAGAAAGTAAATATTAATTAAGCTTTGCATACCTTTTGGTGATTTGTAGAGGATCATCAAGGATTGGGTCATTATCAAATGTTTCCTTATCAAAAAGTCTCCTTATGGCATAGTTTGCCAGCTGTTCCATAAGAAGGTATGTTTGGTTAATGTGTAAAAACATTGAAAAGTAGTGATTCTCCCCTTGGGAACACACATGAATACTCTCTGTTAGTATGACATTTGAAGTCTTTTCAAGTTTTGAGACTGCATCCCAGGAGATAATGAGTTTTACTGCAAATAAGAGTTATAAGCAGGTATGAAAATTCTCAATACCAATTTATATTCATTAATCAGGTCTTTTGAAACAATAATTAACCACTTGAAAGTGCTGTGAACAGCTAAAGTACTTTAGATTTCAAGATTAGTTAAAATTGTGAAGCATCACCATGAACATACAATAATTGGTGATTTTAGGAACAGATATAATTTTAAAGAATTTTTAAAAAATGATTTTGATTTGATATTTAAATCTGTTTCTTTATATAATTACATATTTATATAACTACTGACATAAAAGCTGTTTGTATGTGTGCTATAAATAGTACTATTTGATTCTTCATTGTGGCTGCAAAGTGAGGTATGGGCCATTAGGTACTATGGTACTATATTTATATGTTTAAAACAAGGATTAAAACACAGACTAAAGCAAGTAGGTAGTTTATAACATGGGATAGAAAGCAGTTATATGCCAGATTGCTATCATCACTTAATATTCATTCACTTCCCATAATATGCAAGGCATTCTATACATACTTCTAATTGTTCCTATATTAAATAACCAGTCTTAAAAGGATTTTCTCTAGAGGACATGAACTTTCACATGTACAGTTTAGCTATCTTTAATATCAATCCCATTACTTTATTTATGACCTAACACCACCACAGAGTTGATAGGTCAGACAGTAAGTTCAAAGCTCACGGTAAGCAATAGAAACCACTTACTTTCTGATCCCAATAAAAAAGAATAGAAGCTCAGAAAGTTGGTGCTAAGATAAAGCCAACCCTGACAAGGAACCCGTCCTTTCCAATAACTGCACGAATAATAGGTCACTAACTTCTCTTGCTCTGGTAAACCAAAACATTTTTCAAATTTCAAAAGGGCTTCTCGAAATTTCTCAGGATCATCTTCTTTTGCAAAAGAATGTTTTCCCTCTTCAGCAATTAATCCCTAAAAGAAACAAAATATTTTCTTGAAATTCATCATCGCCTACCAACAAAAATATATCTCATACATTTAAACAGATTATTGAATACGACTGTACAGTTAGCCCTCTGTATCCACGGGTTCTGCATCTGGGGATTCAACCAACCAGGGATTGAAAATATTTGGAAAAACAAATCCACAAAGTTTCAAAAAGCAAAACTTGAATTTGCCGCACACTGAGTACTATGTTGAATCCACACAAATGAAGTGATGCATAGGCATTGTATTAGGTATTATAAGTAATCTAGAGATGATTTAAACTATATGGGTGGATGTGCATAGGTTATGTGCAAATACTTTGCCATTTTATATAAGGGATTTGAGCATCCATTGATTTTGGTGTCCGTGGGGAGTGCTGGAACCAATCCCCCATGGATACCCAGGGATGACTATATATATCTATACAGGTACCTACAGCGTATGTATATATGTGTGCACATACATAATTCTCTTAGGTCAGAGGAAAGCAGATTTTCTTCAGTTATGTACTTAGGTTTTTACTAATGCCTCACAAGGAGCTACCACAAATACAGGTGCTAAATATCTTCTTTTGAATGAACAAAGGGTTTATTCAAACTCAAAACTCAAGAGATATTGAAATGAAAGGGTCCCTAAGAGCACTCACAAGGGCACCAAAGACAATCCACTGACTTCACAATTTTCTTTAGCATTGATTCTAACATTCATACATGTGCCTCTACCAATAGTGAAAGGTGCCAGTGAAACAATGACCTTCTATGCAACTTTTGATCCACATATAAGAGAGTCAAACATTGTAGTATTCCATCTACAAAATATGTCCATGCCACTTACTCTTATCTTTCCTTGTACAAAATTAGTAATATCTGCACTTGAATCAAACACAGATAAGGTCTTCATAATGTTTTGCTCCAACCAATCCCAATGCTTGGTTATTTCTTCTCTGTTGGCTCCTGAATAATAACATAAGAGAAAAAAACACTCAAGGAAAATTCCACATCAAAACTGCACTTGATATAATATTTAAAAAGCTTAGTTCAAAAAGTAATAAAATATACTTTAAAAATGGTCATAAAGGAATAAAGGTATTACATTTATTCTCTACTTCATACCTATATGTGGGCATGAACAATATTTCTCATTATAAATAGAAAGAATAAAATATTTAATGAAATGGGAGAAAAGTAAATACAACTCATGAAAACAAGATACAAAACTTTGAAAACAAGATACCAGTAACTGGTGCCTCGAGAGTAACCAGTATCTTTTAAGAGAGTATAGAGAGTACCAGAAAATACATGTACATAATTCAATCTTTGGTCTTCAAATAATATAGCACTGTCTCTATAATCTGTGTGGCTAAAAACAGCATGCACGTGACAATCCTCTGCATGCTGTGTAAATGTGGATTTCAATTGTGGCCACCCACTCTACTTATTTCAGAAGCCATGGAACCTTTGCTCAGAGTCACCACATTCATTAAAAGACCTAGTAAACTTAAAAATTTTCATGAAGGAGTTTAGAAACCCTATAGCAAGGTTAAACCCATGTGGCCTGCTGAATCAGTGTTGGGTGGCTTGTGGAGGGTCAGATTAAATATTATTAGCTCTAGTTTGCTTTGGCTTGAAGAATATTTTGAATCATCAGTCTCCCCCTATTGCTTACATATCTTGAAGATCTTCCCAGCATGGATGATACAAATCGCACTCAAAAGAAACATATTAACTTTTTTTCTTTAGAGATGAGGGTCTCGCTATGTTGCCCAGGCTGGTCTCAAATTCCTGGCCTTGAGCAATCCTCCCACCTCAGCCTCCCAATTAGTGGGATTACAGGTACGTACCACTGTGCCCAACTATGTTGACTTCTTAGTATGTTTTATGATATATGGAGACTGACACATTAAAAAATTTATTGACATTGTGAAATTACCTATTTTCCTACAATCAGTTAGAACTTTATTCATGTTACTAAAGTCACCATACCAAGAATAATAACTTTCTTTAATGAGCCACAGATAAAAGCCATGGGGAATATTAAAGGCCTTTATTTTGATTCTTTAGGTGTAGGAAGCTTCATTAGTAAGTAACAACTATATTTCTGTATCAGATTAATTCAGGGGAATGAGTTATGTAATCATCCTTTATTTTTTTTTTAACATATAAAGGACATTTTTTTTCTAAATAATTTCTACCAACCAGATTTAGAGTGAGGTTACAGAATTTTCATGTCAGCAGGTATAATGTCATCTTCATTTAGTTTAAATGGCATTCAATTTAAGAGAGCCAGGAAAAAAGACTGTCAACACTAAAGGAAATTTAGAGAGAAATACAAAAATAAGCCAGACATTCTAAAAAATTAATTGTATGCTGTATGTTCACGCATATGAACTGTCCACAAATTCATGTGCTTTTGTTCCTTTTTTAAGTATATCCACTTCAGAAGAGAGGGGGAGAAGAGAGAAAGAGATAAAGGCAGTCTTTCAATATTAAAAAGGCCAGAAACCTGGGATTCTAATTTAGACCAACATTATGATAGCATCACCAAAAAAGTAACAAACTATGAATGTGGGTTTTTAAAAGTTATTTTGACTTGTTTTATTAGAAAGAATTATGTTTATTCCTTTTCTACCCACTATATACATGTGGAAGCCTCTGAACTAGGCTGGCATGAATGAATATGTAGCATTACTTGTAAGACATTCCTTCATATTTCAAGGATATGTTGCCTTTTGTGAGAAAATAGGTGTGTGAATAAAAAAGGTTTAATTTTTCAGGCTTATACTTTCTTAGGGGACAACTTTTAAGTCTTGGGCTCACAGTTAACTTAAGACCCTCCTCATCTGAGTTATTAGAAGCGAAACAGTGTATTTCATTGGGAAGTTCCCATCTTCCCTACAGTTGGGTGAAGCAGAAGTTGAAGAAAGGAGACATACAGCAGTAGCAGTGAGCAAAATCTGATCAGAATCAGTACTGCTGGACCACATGCTTCAGGTCCCTCACACCAATAGATTTTTAAAAACTTCAATAATCTGCAACCTTCTGAAATAAACAGAAGTCTTGCTATTCTCTCAAAGTAAACTTGCACATTTAATTCGTTTCTAAATCTCAAAACAACTAGGGAGTATAAATAAATATAAACATTCAGTTTCTTAGTATCTTTATTTAATTTGAATTATATGTTTAAAAAATCATACTCACCACATGCAATTGACAAGTAAACTTGAGAATCCGGTGTCTGGTGTAGGATGCGAAATGGAGCTACTTTAGCAGTAGAGTCTAAAACCGAATCCAGAGTCCCAACCAGAAGCCCTGTGTAATAGAAAGACTGTTGATATAAGGACTTCACAAGAGATAAATAAAATCAACATCATTTAATAAACTAATGAATTTATTTAAAAAATTTTCTAGCCCAAGGAGTCCTTATAGAGATTTTCTTAAAGAAAAAATATATTTGGGATGAAGAGAGTATAGTATGCCAATGTGAGTAGTGTTTGAGATAATTATCTTTCAGTAAAAGAGTTAAGTCAGCTTCAGTTGTTCAAATCTCACAATGTATCTGAAGCACTTATATACCTCCTTCATAAGGTTGTATGTATAGGAGATAAGAATGTAGGATCTGGTACCAGAGACTAACTGGGTTTAAATCCTGGTTCCATCACTTACTTGTGTCAACTTGAGCAAGTTAAAGTACTTATCCTTTCTGCATCCTCATTTGTAAAATAAGGAGGTTAAAACAGAACCTACCACAAAGGGCTGTTGTAAAAATTAAGTGAATTATTACATATAAAGCACTTAGAACAATGCTTAGTACAGAGTAAAACACCCGATTTTGGACTTCTGATTTTTGGATTAGGGATGCACAACCTAGCATTTGATTATTAGGTTGGTTGTAACAACTACTTTCTAAGTGCTTCATGTATATTATTCTTTCTCCTTATCTAGATTATTAGTTCTTTGAATGTCGCTCCATAAATTAATATTACTATATTAGAGACAGAAATGATCTCAGGAGTTTTGCAGGGCTTTGCCCTGAAGGAATATGTGAATGTATTAGTTTGCATATCAAAAGCTACTTCACCTCAGGAGGGCATCTCAAAGGTCAGTAGCAGCTGCTTTCCAAGGTGCTGCTGCAGTCTCAAACCTGTGGTTCTCGCCTGCTTTGAAGGACAAAGCAGATCTGCAAGGAGCCACAGGATGAGAGCTGATCAAAGAATGCCCGCTGGAGAGACAGACACCTGTGGCTAAAAACAATTAGCCCAAGGGACAGTTCCTGCTTGACTTCTGATGACCTGTCTCTATTTGCAATAACTAGATAAAGAAATATGGAGCCACTATATCTCTGTTTAACTGTTCTGTTAAGTGATAGCTTTATCTTAGAACTTAGAAGTTTGTCCTTGAAAGATTTTCTAACCAGAGTTAATTAAGGGATCTATAGAAGCCTTTTGAAAGACTTTTAACCTAAAACAAACTACCTGTTATTATGTAAATCTGTTACCCCTGGCAACCGATCTCTGTACCTATAAATACCCACATGAAACTTTATTCTGGGCCTCACAATTGACGGGGATATTGTGCGGATCCCAAGTACCCCTACTTTGCTTTTTCTTTATAAATCTATAAAACTATACCTTCGTCTCTGTGAATTCTTTTATTTCTATTATTTTCCATTTCCTATTATTTTCTTATCCTTTGCAACGACCCCTGCCTAAAGGACCCGATTTTTGCTGGGAGCGTAGCTAACTCCCTGCATTTGAGGACAATAACCGTGTCTTCTACCTCTGGGCTTGTATCCTTAACTTTCAACATATTGATGGGCACGATAAGTTTGTTGACTTAACTGTATCGATGGGATGGCTGAAATATGTAAATGTACCTTCCTTTTCTGGAAGCTTTGATAGGCTGAATGTTGGTTTTGCTTTACCAGGCATTTCCCTTTAATTTAGCACATAGATTTTTGAGAAAAATTTAAATCAATTATAAATCAGGCTTCTGGCTCTTTTCCTATCATTACCCACATAAAAAGAGTCAAGCTTTGAATGAGAATATAGGTAGGCTGGCAGATGTGAGGTAGGAAGTTATTATAAGCATAGAGGGAGATAAATTAGAAGAATAAAAGATAGAACAAAGAGATAAAGAGAAATTTGGCTCAGATGAAAGGAAAGGGTGAGAGAGTGAATACAGGAATGGATAAAAAATAAAAATAGGGGTCACAAATGCAGCATAGTATCAATTAGCAATCTGACAAGAGGATTTTGATAGTGGGAGCAATATATCAAGAAAGAAGATTTTGGCAGTGACAATATGTGATTATAGAAGAAGTTATCTGATATGAAAAAAGTTAGGGTATGAGTTGAAGATTTTATTAAGAAAAGAAATGAGGAAACCCAGACAAATATTATGAAAGAGGAGGTTCTGGGGAATAGAGAATGGGAATGAGGAGGAGGGACAGAAGAAATGATTATTATACTTCAACTAATGATGAGGGAATTACTGGTGAGTTTGGGGATAATGGGAACAATAATACTATCACTTTCAGCATCAAAGTAGTGACTGTGAGAAACTGGAGATTTAGTCAAGGATAAAGAAAGAAAAGTAAGAGCTAAACATATGCTAAACAAACTATCTAGTATCCTCAGAGCAAAGTGATTGAAATTACTCAGGAAATGGAGGAAAGGAGAATGCTCTCAATTTGAAAACAGGAGTGTGAAAAATACCCAAAATAAAGATAAAAGAGTGGTAGGTAGCAAAAGACAACCAAAAGAGGTAACTATCTCCAGTGGAGAAATAGAATAGAGTAATAAGCATATGGAAAAAAATGCTCACCATCACTAATCATCAGAGAAATGCAAGTCAAAACCACAATGAGACACGACCTTACACCAGTCAGAATGGCTATTAAAAAGTCATCAACCTAAGAGTTCCTCAGGGGATGACTAGATAAAAAAAAAGTGATACACACACACCATGGAATATATACCATGGAATACTATTAATACTCAGCTATAGAAAAGAATAAGATGTCTTTTGCAGCAACATGGATGGAGCTGGAGGCCATTATCTTAAATAACTCAGAAAGTCAAATACCACATGTTCTTGCTTATAAGTAGGAGCTAAATAATGTGTCCACATGGACACAGAGAATGGAATAATAGACATTGGAGACTCAGGTGAGAAGGTGGGAGGGATAAAAAGTTACTTAATGGGTACAATGTACACCATTTGGGTGATGGTTACACTAGAAGCCTAGACTTAACAAAACTGCACTTGTATGTATAAAAAATGTATAAAACATATAAAAATGTATAAAATGAATAAAAATGTATAATTTTTTTTTTAAAAAACACATGGGCACAAAGAGATGTAAAGGTCACTGGAAATCAAGAAGGGGGTACTGGGAAGAAGGGAGGGGTAAAAACCTACCTGTTGGGTACAATGAACACTATTAGGGGGATGGGTACACTAAAAGTCCTGACATTATAAAAGGTATCCATGTAACAAAAAAAGATTTTAAAAAAAGAAGTATATAAAAAAAGAAGTGTACAGATGTGTATATATAAATAAACATATAACAACTTGGCAAAATTGTCAAAATGAAGGAATTATAGTTTCAAATAAAAGCATTTATTAAACACAGGAGAGTTTTAGCAAATAACAGATAAAATTTGCTTTTTTATCTTTTCAAAGATACTGTTTAAAGGTAACAGCAGCAGTGTGGATATAGGGAGTGGTTGAAATCACTGGCAAGATTAAGGTCACTTTTTTGAGAAAGGGTCTCACTCTGTTGCCTAGGCTAGAGTGCAGTGGCATCATCATAGCTCACTGCAACCTCAAACTCCTGGGTTCAAGCAATCCTTCTGCCTCGGCCTCCCAAGTAGCTGGGACCACAGGCATGTGCCTCCATGCCCAGCTAATTTTTAAAAATTTTTGTAGAGATGGGGTCTTGATATATAGCTCAGGCTGGTCTCTAACTCCCGGCCTTAAGTGATCCTCCTACCTAGGCCTCCCAAACTGCTGGGATTACAGGCCTGAGTCACCGCGCTGGGCCTAATGCCACATTTGGCAGCAGAAATGTTCACAAGATTATAAGTCCCTTACACTATATGGAAAGGAAATTGTTCAGTTTTTGTAAGTACAAAATCGGGCAGTTAATATAAAACTATGCAACAAATTATTTGGAAGCCACTGCTAGAATACATTTCCAGTCACTTTGGGAACACTTTCAGCTCATTAAGCTGTAATCATCATAAAGTCTCTGCAAGTCATTCAGGAATTAATATGTGCTAATGTCTGGGTTCTAAAAGTACAAGAAAACAAGCAGAAAATTTTGAGTTGCTTCTCCATATACACAGAGGTTCATCTTCTGACAGCCTGAACATTCAAGGTCATGAATCAGCCTATACATGGGAAATCTTATAGCTATACTAAATTGGGAAGAGAATAGATATTGCCAGCTGTATGACAGAGGAAGAAATTTTAAAATATCAAGAAATTCAAATCATCCTTGAATGAGTATAACTGAGTAAGGTACCAATGTTCTAGATCCTGGTAAAGGTCTATGAGACTTTGGTAGCATCTGCCATACAAGTAACACCCACCATCTTAATGAAATTCACCACCATAATTGATGCGAAATACTTTTTATTAAATGGTATAGCAAGATAACAAAAAAGATTCTATGATTTAAAAAAATGGGTACTTTGAAGATAATGATTATTGTTTATGAATCAACTCTTTTTAGCTGGATAGAGACAGAAGACCATAGACTTTAGAGATGAAAAAATATCCTAACAAGTCATGTACAACACATTTATCTCCTCTGTAGTATCCCTGACAGAAAGCCTAGCTTTTTCCTTGAATAATTCCAAAGAGTTTATTTCTCCCAAGGCAGCCTATTGCATCGGTGGAGATTTCTATTTATTAGAAAGTCCTTTCTAAAATATGGAAGTATTTATATATCCAAATGTTTGGGCCAGCTTCATGGGCTTGTGACCTGTGCATAGGTCCCATGCTCAGAAGGACCCTGTGCTTGATTTAAGCTCTGTTGTCACTGTCTTGAAATTCTTAATTTTTGAAAAAGAAGCCCTTCGTTATCATTTTACACTGGGTCCCAAAAATTACGTAGCCAGTCCTGGTTATATGTGGTTACCTCTGGGCAGTGAGATCATGGGTGATTACTATTTTTTTCTTTATATCTATATGTATTTTCTAGAATTTTTACAATGAGCATCTTTTAACTGTTAAGATAGAAAAACAAAGCTATTTCTTACTCACCAAAAAAAGAAAAAGGGAGGTCTTTCTTAGGATAAATA